TCAGAGGTGTTCCCTTTCAGGTGAAATAAAGTGATTAGTGAGTGATTGTGCACTTTGGGTCATTGGCTATAAAGATTCAGAGCCAGCAGTGTAGTGATGAATCCATGTGACATCCCAAGTCTGGAGTTTGTGTTGGTGGAGCTTTAATTGAGTTTGAGGAGCACATTTCATTTAGCCTCAGCTGCTGGGACAGCACTGCAATAAGTATGTGAAATACACACTTATAAAACAATTGGTAGAACCTATTTGGGCCATAATAATTGTGCTATACTCTACTAAGTCTAGGGAAAGGGAAAATGAAAATACTGGCTTGTCTTTCTGGAGTTTCATCATGTTTTCCATTGGACTTGTAGTTGGATCCTATCGAGCAATTTGATTTTGTGTTATTCTGAGAACTTTACATGAATAGTAGCTGGGTCCAGTGTGTCTCAATCAAAACGTATGGAACAGAAGATTGTTGTTTTGGAACAAAAGGTGACAGTTGAGTATAAAAAGATTTGAACTGGAAATCATAGTTTGGTTAAGGATTTTCTTTAACAACTGAAAAGTACCGATCGTAACTGGAGATAGTTGTCTGGATATTTAAAGCATGCATTTTATGCCTTCCTGGCATTTGAAAGACATAAGCAACTGAGAAATAAATATTAATAGCAACTTAGCAAATATTTTTTACTACTCCTTCATTCACTGGCTGCTAACAGTGGAAAATGAAACTGTTGAAGTAATCCTGTTCTTTTACTTCTGTGCTGTCTTACAGCATCTCCTAAATAAGGCCTGTTTAAAATCAGAATTATCATCTAAATAATATAATTAATTCAACATAAATTAAACAGTAATGTTTTTTCTTTATGATCTCCTTTTAAAAGAGTATTAATTTGCTTCAGTGAATGAAGATAATAAGGTTAATAGTTTAATGTTCCTCAGTTGATATCTGCTGCTTTTTCTATTACCTTTTTTTTGGTTTTGATTATAAATTGGCTAACCCCTGGTGTATAATTCCAGAAATCATCCCTTCAGTGTATCCAAAGCTATTTACTTAGACTCATCTTTTATTATTCCCACTGCCACAGTCTAATTATTGTAGTGAAAGATTGAACACAGAATAGTTTGGGGCTTTGATCAGTCTTCATATAAATTTCAATAATGAGAGTAAAAGGTTTGCGGTTTTCGGAGATAATTTGATCCCTCCAGACACAGACTGCCTTTGCAAAATGCAGTGAATGCCGTACGAGACCTCTGACAGGATTTGTGTCTGGGCTCGTGACATCTCTGGGAGCAAAATTCTTTTTCCCTACCAATAAAGAGTAATTTAATATTGTTACATTTGTCAGAGAAACTGTACATTTTTCCTTACATTTTCACTTCATTTTCCCCTATCAGTCTAATTGTCTGCATTACAAATTCCTGCATCAGCATTTTCAGGACGCACTACGAATCCATAATCCTGGACTTCTCTCTTTTCAAAAAATATACTTACTGTCTGTCAAATAAATAAAACAAACCATAATCCTTGTTATTCTCTTAGTATCAGTGCTAACTCCCTTTGGAGATAAAGAGAAAGGAGCTGGAGTCTGAGGATATTTTATAATCTTATAAATTGAAATTTAAATGCCTCAAGGAGGAAATTTCCAAAATAATTGTGACAGAAGATAAGTCCCAGCTTTTGGCAAAATTTCATTGGAATTACTTGTTCCAGATCACTGTCTGATGCTGCCTGAATTAAGAAAATGGCAGCACTGCCATGCAGAGAAATAGCTGGGGCTTTTTCATCTTGATAAATTCTTCCCAAAGAGCTCTGTCATCAGCAGTATCAGGTGTGGCATACTCAGGAACACTGTCAAATTAAAATCATGAGCCTTTACCTGATGCCAGTTTATTTTATATTGGCTGTTTTTTTATCTTTTGGATAATAACATCTCAATTTATGGAACTAAATATTTACATTTTTTTACTGTATGTGAGAGTTAGCTAAAATTTGGTTGTTCAGATTGTTTTTCTTTTGCAGGGGGCGTGGGGGTGCTTTTTGTTCTTCTCACTGGGCCAGGCAGTCTAAAAAAGGCCTTGATATCTTTCTGGTCTCCTTTACTGTCACCTGCTTAAGAACTTCTGCTGTAGTTTGATGCCAGACCATGAAATGAAAGATTCACTTGTTTACACTTGGTGCATCCCAGCCATATGTAATAGTAACCATTGTGTTCCCAGCCTAATCCCGGTATCTTACACTAGAACTTGGGCCAATAACATTTTAAGAATATTTTATTTTTAAGGCTCACTAGTAGCTTAGGGATGAGAAAACACAACCCAGCATGAGTACCAAACAGCACATGTGCAACATAGACAGCATGAAGGCAATGTAAACCTCACAAAATACACAGAGGTTTTACAAACAGTTTGTGCAATAAAGGTTGATTTTTCATAGATACTGTGAATATCAGGCTCATTTAAAGACCAAAGTAGTAATATATTCTGTTTCCACATGCTGCAGCTACACATCTATGCAGTTCTGTATGCAGGGAGCAAATCAGTAACATTGCAGGAATATTTTCACTGGATCAACTCCACAAAACTTTAATTATTTAGACTTTCAGATTAAAGTCAACTGAGACTGCTGGTAAGAACAGGGCTCCGAGGGGCAGTTGACAGTTAAAAGGTAGAAGAGGATAAGTCATACTAGTAATTTCTGTACATCCTCCTGTTCTTTGGACTGTGCAGAGACACTCCATATATCTCTGTCTGTGGTGGGAAAAGGATAAGAGAGATGATGGAGGAGCAGAACCACTGCCCCAGCCAGCCTTCCAGGTTGCCCTGGGAGCAGCTGCAGATAACATTCTTCTGGTGACATCACAAATGCATGGAGGAATGTGGGGGAGTTAGCTGGGAATCTTTGCTGTCTGAACTTTTCTCCAGTGGGCTGTAAGGCTTCTCCTGCAGTGACAGGAGGGAGGTCTTCTCCCCTTCCATCCTGTGTGATGGCAAGTCATTCTGCATTCAGGTTTTCCGAGCTCAGCTGATGGCTTGGCTTGATCTGCTCCAATTTTTCTTAAAGATCTGGCAAATGAGAGAGGGTCTGAAATCTGCAGATTTGGTAAACAGGAAAGCAGGAGCTTGAAGGCAAATGTACTTGATGATAAACAGATGAAATCATCTGGAAAAAATAGAAAGGCATGAAGAATGAATGCAACGGGCTGCACTTCAGCTCCAGCAATCAATGGTGATAACCAGAAAGTGGACAACCAGCAAAAGGTCATTAGAAAAGGAGATGGGCATTATAGTGGTTGGCAAAGAAAATGTGTTATGGTGCCATGAAAAAGGCAAAGTAGTAGTGGAGCCTGCAGGAGATGTGAAATGATCCTTCTGCTCTACTCCACTCTTTGAAGATCTCAGCTGAAGCTCTGTAACAAGTTTTGAGCTGTGCACAGGCAGGCATGTGTGAGTATGTGTGCAGGGAGGGAGCAGTAAGATATATCAGAAGGCACATAGCAGATTAAAATAATCAGGTCTGTTTATTCTGAAGAAGACTAAAGTGCCAAATGCCAGAAAGATGAGTGGGAATAACCAGACCATGATGGATGGGACTGAAGAAGTGATTTATTTTGTAACAAGAAAGAGGCAGGTTAGACATCAGAAGAAAACTTCTCCATTAGCAGTGGTGAAGCGCTAGAACAGCTTTTCTGGGAAAGCCATGAATTTCTTACTGCTAGCTTCTAAGGGTTTTCACTCACATCTGTCAGGAATTGCACATGTAAAGTTGATCTTGCCATTTTCTTGGCTGTACCACACTGTACAGCAGCTGTCTGTGGGCATATGTAATAACGTCACAGTGATGAAAAGGGATTTTAAAAAGTAGAGGAACTTCACTTCTTAGCAAAAATGTAATATAAGCAATGGAGTTCAACACCATCACCTATAGGAACCAAATATCTAGGGACCTCTGACAACATCTGCTCTGTTATAAACACTATATATACTTCTTTTTGCATAATTGCATCAAAAATCTGATCTCCAGCTTTTACTAATCCCAGGAGTTCTGGAGCTGGAAAGTTTTGCATTGCCTTTCAAATGGAATTTTGTGTAACATCAAGCTAAGAACATCTTGAATTGTTATTTTGGTTTTTTTTTGAATCTTCATGTTTCTAAAACACATGGAAATAAGACACATGGAAATGAGCAGGGGAGCTGCTTATTTTTATTTTTTTTTCCATATTTTCATTTAATACTGGGAGAGATACACATTTCAGTTATTCAACTCCTAAATCACAGAGTCACTTCGGTGATGAAAATGCCATCCGATCCCTGAGACATCAGGTTCTTCCTTTCACCTGGCGCTTCCTTCCACAGCAGTGCTGTGACACTTTACCTCCTCAGCTCTCTCTGTTTTCCAGCTTCCAGCCTTTTTATAGTTGATGCACAGGTCTATGGTGTAACAGAAATCAAAGGGGTTGTAATGAAATATCTGAAGGAGAGTAGTGGAATCTACTTTTAAACCATTGGTTTAATGCCTGTGCAAATTAAAATTGTTTGCAATGCATAAGGCTTGTTATTGTTTGTTCTTTCTTCTAGCTTAGAAGAATTCAGCGTTAGAAGTGTGTCGCATTTTTTAGGCCCAAAAGTGTGGAGCAGCTTTTAATGGGAAAGAAAATGGTTTTTGAAAACTAGAAATCTGAGCAGTGAAATAAATTGAGCCTCAAAAAGTGATTGAAATCTCAGAGTCAGGATACAAAAGGCATCCAAAGACTTATGAAGTCTGACAGAGTCTGTTTAGTTTGAGGTGTCTTTCATTTTGCATCAGGGCTTACATTTTTAAAAACCAGAAGAAAGCATTGCTGTCAGGTGGAGCGGGTTTGAAAGCAGGCTGCTGCTCATGAAAGCCTGAAATTGTGCACAACTCCAGATAATGCGTCTTCAGCAGATAACTGAAATAATACATTTCCTAAATTGGTTGCATTAAGCAATTACTGATACTGTAGTGGAAACCATATAATTTTCTTCCTTCCTTGTAGCCTCAGCGCCGTGTCACATTTCACCTACCAGATGGCTCCCAGGAAAGCTGCAGTGACAGTGGGCTTGGAGACCACGAACCCACGAGCGGTGCTAGCACATCGCACCCTCTGCCCCTCGGCTTCCCCCAGGAGGAGTATTACGAGCAAGCTTCACCCAACAGCCGGACAGAAGGAGATGGCAACTCAGACCCGGAGTCTAGTAAGTGATGAACTCTGGTCATCTCAGTTGTTAAATCATTTGAGTATCAAAAGTGGGCTTCTCGTTCAAGCAATTATTAAAGCCATTGATTTGAATACGGCCAAGGACACCCCATATTTCTAAAAATGTGAAGTCTGACCACTGAAAGTAAAACACTCTTGAGCTGTACAGAGTTTATGGATAACCTGGTATTTTTATAGATCTGCTGTGCTATACACAGAGGAGCTTTCTGATGAGGTTAACACTGTTGACCTTACAGTCATAAATACTGTGCTGAGAGACTTTATGCTTTTTAATGTGTTTCCCTACCCAACGCTACTGCACGCTGTAGCTTGTTTTAACGGAAAGGACTTCTGGATGATGAGTAGGTCTGTAACCACACTGCAGTCTCCAGAAATGAGGTTTTCTTGATTTCTCTTTTGAGAGCAGCTATGGCATGTAGTAATAATAATCTCCAAAAACTTTGTCATCTAGTTTCTGCAGTTATCACTGGCTTCTCATGACATTGAAAACAGCGAAGCAAAATCAATATGAGCTCAGGACCATGCTAAAGCTATGGATACTGGCTGGTTTTGCTTTCCCTACTGTGATGTGACAGCCAGTTGGAGACTCCGCTGTACTTTAGTTAACTGTTAATTGCCCAGGGGCTCTTTATCTGGATTAAATTGAACTGTGCCATTGATGAAGAGATACCTGAATGTGTGAAAGCCTCTAAGGGCTTGTTAGCAGGCTATTAAGTGATGTGAAAATACATCTGTTCTGGGCAAAACTTGGCCCGAAAGGTGTATTTCAGCTGCTTTAGTGTGTCATGATGAATGAATTAGTAAGTCCTATGCACTTGAAATAGCTCTGGGTGAGAAGGTACTTACATCTTTGCACTGGCATCCAGCAGAGAACATTACCTCTGACTGGTAATGGCTGACACATTCAGCCTGGCTATTGAAAATCACCTTGCTGCCTTTGCCTTGTGCTGCCTGAGACTGGAGTCTTGAGGGTCTTGTCTGCAGGGATGAGGTCCATTCTCTCTTTTTCTTGAAGTTCAAAAGCTATTAACTGGGGAGCCTCAGTTTCAGACTGTCAAAAATTGTAGTTACGGTTCCTGAAATAATGCCAGAATGTTGCTGGTTTTTTTCTGAGCTGATAGACAGCTGACAAGAGCCATCAGAGGGTTTGGATGTTGGGTTAAAAACACTATTCATTGTTTGCTTTTGTTTGTGTATATATATTCAAGGCTGTATTATACCCTTAAGAACAGTCTAGGCAGTCAAACTGAATTCTTTACACAATGACACTCTAAAGGGCTACAGACATACCCCAAACAAAGAAAATATCAAGTTATATATGTCTCATTTTCTGCTTTCGCTATGCATACTCATGATCTGAACTTGTTTGCCAGCTCTCTTTTGTTATCTGTAACTCTGATATTTATGCCTTGCTGACATGAGCATGATGTACATCAAATGAGCATTTGGGTCCTCTCATGCAGAAAGCATGGGACAGGACCTGGTATGAGGAGTTATTAAAACAGACCTGTGAATCCTGACTTGGCTTTACAAATAGGCTCAGTGCTTTTTGAGCTCAGTTTTTGCAATTTCAGAACTATGGATGATGACTCTTCTAGAATGTTGCCCTAAAAGCAATACAGCTGTGACATCTGAATATCATTGACACATAACACTGTGGAGAATAAGCAGATGTCTGATGTCTTTTCAAGTGTGAAGCTGAAAAAGTTTCATCACCTGTCTTAATTACCTGCCAGTTCAGTTTTAAACCCGACATCACAGTTCAATTAGCATTTATGTTATGTGAAGATTTTTTGCTGTTCTAACTTGTATCTTATTGAAACAGTTTAATTGACACAATACGGTGTGATGCTTACAGTGTGGAGAGCGCAGTTTGCAGTCCTTTTTGGTGTTTTATGCTTATATTAATGGCAGCATCTAGTGGCAGAAAAAGAACAGATATAAATAGATGTTGGTATATGCTCTTATACATCTAAATAAAAAAGAGGGGGAAGACCCACAGCATATTTTTATTCAGTATACTGCTGCAAAGTGACCTTTTGTAGGTAAGGTACCGATGTATCTTGCGTGCTGATATGATACCATTCAGCCTGAGCTTCATTTTGTTCATTTGTGCATGCATGACACAGTTAATAGTGAAAACCATTCTGAATTGGTAGTTTTCTCTACAGACATGCTGCTAGTTCTTTGATTGTTGCTTTTTTCATCTAATTTGGAGTGGCATGATATATTCAAAGTATCTTTATTTTTGTTTCATGGACAAAAATGTTAATGTGAAAAGAGAAAGAAATATATGGTCAGATAATCTGAGTAGAATTCGTATAACAGAATAAGCGTGGCCTTCATTGTCTTTCAAGATCTTTAATTTCAGACCTGTCTTAATCTGAAACTTTGTCTAAAGCGTTAAGACTGATTAATCATCTGATGGTAATTTAGTTCAAATTTGCCTACCAAGGAGACATAGAGTTAGCCTGAAACAACTTCAGTAACATCTATAAGCCTACTAAGATGTTAAGTAGCTTGTGAAAACTGATGACAGATGCCACGTCACTCAGAGATATATTCAAGTGTTTTCTCCCTTTTTTTTCCTAAATATAGTTCTTTTGTTTTCTTTGTTTCTCTAATAGTGGAAATTATTGTATTTTGGAAACTTTCCATTTATTAACAATAGAAAAGTATGTATTACACAACACTGCAAAAGATGACCACGACTTAAAATAAAAAAATCTGAGAAATGGTGGTGAGGGGAACCCTTACAAATTCATATAGGAATTTAGGAGTGAAGCAAGGGGGAAAGAATAACTGTAAAAGCATTATGGCTAGAAAAGTATGAGCAATTTCTATGCACACCTTTAAAATTAGTTGACTATACTAATTAAAATTAGAAATAGGCTATTTAAATGATTTGTCTTCTCTTACTTTAGTTGTCTTCTCAAAAAAAGCATAATGTGCAGTGTGGTAGGTGCATCATAAGGAAGAGATGCCAATAAGCTGTCACACTAAGTAAATACTAATATAAAAATGTATGTAGGTTTGTAGAGAACATTATCCTTAAGTAACAGCACTAATGTGTGTGGCATTCATATATTTTCTGTTCATAAATTGCTCAAGCTAATAAGGATGCTCCAGTAATTCCCTATGCTAAGGATTCATAGTGGCTGTAAGCAGTAAGGTTGACGAAAGGGAGTAGAAAGGTAAATGTTATGCTTGGTTATTTAATTCATGTGACATATTAATGACAAATGTTCATGCTTCACCTGCTTTTATAGCCTTATCAAAATAATCTGTTGGTTGTTTTTTTTTTTCCCTCTAGAGAATAAATCTATTTTTCTTACTTATTTGGAGGAGGTGGAGTATGCCCAGTTCACCTAAGAAATTGGGCAGAGTAAGAGGAATATGATTGCAACTTAGGGGAAAGCAAAAACAACAAAAACCCCAAACAAACAAAAAAAGCCAAACAGAAACCCAGAAATCTGAAATTAAATAATTTTAATTATGTTGTATAAATAAAGTGAAAGTATCAACAAAGCTGTTTGAAACTTAAAGGAGTGGTTAATGAGGCAAAACACACTGAGATGCCAGGTGTTTGAAGAGGAGAAAGCTGGCATCTTAAGGAAAGGGAGTCTCCATAAGGATATTTAACATGAATTAGTGGGTAATAAGCAAAGAAAGTTGTCTTGAACATCAGAAGGTGTAGAACTAAGGAAGGAATGCCAAAAGACGAGCTGATAGGAACTGTAATTTCATGGTTGCTCTGAGCTGGTGTTGCTAGAGGCATCTATGGCTGCTTGTTTGGATCTCCTAATCGCTCTTTCTCCTGTGGCAGCACAAGCAATTGTAGAGCTGCTTGGATGAACTGGATAGAAAAATTCATCTGGGTTCAACCTGATCTAAGGGAGAAAAGGTTATTTGTAAACAAATCATTTCCCCAGTTCTATTTGTTACATGGTACACGACTTGTGGACAGCAAATGAGGGAAAGAGGAGCTGGTGCAAAGCTTATGCCGGCTTTAAGTGATCATCAGACTTCAAGAGAGTTAGTCTTAAGAAGAATTAAGGCTCTAATCTATGGTATTTGGGCACATAAGAAGGAGGTTTGCAGCAAGGATGACATCTGTTCATGATTAAAGATAGCATATTTCTTCTCCAAAATTAAAAGAACACTTTCACCTTGCCTTAATTTTTGATAAGGATGATGTTGATGAGAGCAAAGACAGGCTGATGAAGAATGATGATAATGGAAGTAAAAGTCAGAGTAGGTTCAGTGCATTCATGTGGAGGAGAGGAGATAATCTTCCTCCCAGGATATCAAAACTGATAGTGTTTTCCTTATTTTTCTGTAATTCTAAGAGACGAGGTGTCAAGGAAAAAGAAGTACTCAGGATTTGCCACTGGAAAACATTTACCAGAAAGATAGATACATTCAAAGATAAAACTACAAATGTATCATAGGCTTCGCAAGAATAGTACTAGATTACCTTTATTATCTCACTTCAATGACATGTATTTTTCATATTGGGTAATACGTGTATAGTTAGTCTATATAGATTTAAGAACTAATAACTATTATTATGACATTAAGGTGGAGCATTAGGAATTAAGAAGGAAAAGACAGATTAATACAGGAATGGAAAGATCTTCATCATTATCTTCATTAATGAGTTTGGCATTAAAAGCAGGAACGTGTCAATGAAATATTCTGCTATCTCAAAGCCAAGCATCACCGAAAATAGAGGAGGAGGTGTGTATGACACAAGAACTGGATTTTGTTAAGGATTTGGAGTAATAGCAGCGGGATGAAATCTAATAGTTGGGAGTCTTTCTTATAGGAATGGGTGTAGCTAGTATATAAATCACCAGCTGAAAATGACATAAAGAAAAAAAACAACTGAGTATTACAAAGATAAACCATAAATCACCAGTACCTAATGTGATTGTGGAAAAATCCTGGGTTACTCCTAGTACAGGAGTAAAAAAA